TGATCCTTGTTGGTGGATGCATTTAGACGTCTATAGTCTATGCACATCCTCCAACCAGTCACCATTCTAGTTGAAATGAGATTACCATTCTCATTTTCAACTACGGTCATTCCTCCCTTTTTAGGGACCACATGAACGGGGGAAACCCATCTAGAACTCGAAATGGGGAAGATGATGCCGGCATCAAGGAGTTTGGTGATTTCCTTCTTCACCACCTCCCCCATTTGAGGATTGAGTTTCCTTTGCCTCTCAATGGAAGGCTTAGCACCCTCCTCAAGTGTTATGTGGTGCATACATAAAGCGGGGCTAATACCTTTGAGGTTATCTATGGTATAGCCTAAAGCACCTTGGTGATCTCTCAAAACACCACATAACATTTGAGTTTGGCACTCGTTCAAAGAAGAATTCACAATAACCGGAAAAGTTGAATTGGGGCCCAGAAACTCATACCTTAGGTGGGATGGTAGAGGTTTCAACTCTACCATTGGAACACCCTTACCTTCTGTTGAGGTAGCTACTTCTAATGCATCATGTGTTGTGATTCCCATGCACACTTTCTCATTGCTTGATTCCGTACTTCCTTCAAGCATCTCTTCATACAATGCCATCTCTTTGCTTTGGTCACCTATCTTTTCCTTGTTCAAAAGGACATTCTCAAGGGCATCGTTAGTAGTGAGCAAGTGCTCATGCATAGAAGTTACAATAGAATCAATAGTATCAATCATCATGCAATTATCAAGACTAGAGCTTGGACATTTCATGCTCTCATTCAAATCAAATTCTATCACCTCATCTCCTACCTTTAGTGAAATTTTAGCACTTTGAACATCTATTAAAGCACCCGAAGTAGCAAGAAAAGGTCTTCCTAGAATTATTGGAATGTTAACATCTTCATCCATCTCTAACACAACAAAATCCACCGGGATTACAAACTTCCCCACCCTTAGAGGAACATCCTCTACCTTACCCTTTGGGAATTTAATAGAGCGATCGGCCAATTGTAGGGTGATGTTGGTGGGTAGAAGTTCCCCTATCCCAAGTCTTTGGTATACCGAGTATGGCATTAGGCTAACACTAGCCCCTAGGTCACACAAAGCATTATCAATTTGCATCTTGTATATTGCACATGGGATAGAAAAGTTACCGGGATCTTTTAACTTTGGTGGCATCTTATTCATGATAATAGCACTACAATTCTCGGTGAGATTCACCGTTTCCACCACATCACACTTTCTCCTTCCACTCAAAATATCTTTTAAAAACCTAGCATAGTTAGGCATTTGCTTGATAGCATCGGTAAAAGGGATTGAAAGGTGAATTTGCTTCAGTGTTTCAAGGAATTTTCCGAATTGCACATCTAATTTGTGTCTCACAAATTTATGGGGATATGGAAGTCTTTGCAATTGTTTGGTTTCTTTTTCACTCTCTTTTTCTCTTCTCTCTTTCTCAAATTCTTTTTCTTTCTCACATTCTTTCTCCTTTTCATTCTCATGGTTTTGCTCTCTCTCTTGTTCAAAATCACTTTTAAAGGGAGGCTCACTCATGTTCACTTTCTCATTGTTTTCCTTAGGGACACTCTCTTCCAACACTTTCCCACTCCTAGTTGATATAGCATTCATCGGTTTCTTGGGGTCAAGTCCTTGGGGTGGAAGTTTAGAAGTGCTAGCTCCCTCTTTTAAAGCATTGGCCAATTGAGAAATTTGTGTTTCAAGCATTTTGTTATGGGTCATTACTTCACTAAATTTCTTTTCACTTGAGGCCATGAAAGAATTGAACATTTTAGTTTGATTTTCCATCATTTCCTCCAAGCTAGACCTACTATGTGGTGCTTGTGCATAGTGGTCGTCTTGGGAAGCCCTATTACCTCTAGCATTCGAATTGGACGTATTTTGATTAGAAGAAACTCTATTATTATTGTTGTTCCAATTGTTCCGATTATTAGAGTTTCCCCCTTGGTGAAATTGCCCTTGATTCCCATAGTTTCCTTGATTATTATGATTATGGTTACCATAACCACCTTGTTGGTTGTAGTTACCTTGGGGATTTTGGTCCCTTTGGTTCCTACTTCCCCATTGATTTTGATTATGGTAATCGTAATCATTTCCTCTTTGGTTATAGGAATTCCCCCCTTGTTCTCTTCTATTTGGTGGTAAGTATCTTTGATTGTCATTCTTATGTCTATTATCATAAGACAAGGCATTGACTTGTTCATTTTCATTTTCATTACCATCTTCGTATTGGGGTTGGGGTTGGAAATCATAATTACAAGAAGAGGTATCATGGTCATAAGACCCACAATTTTCACAAAACAAACATCCATGAGGCATGTTATTAGAAGTAGAGGGAGAAGAGTTAGAATTCATACCTCTCCCCTTAGATTGGGAGGGATGCTCTTGTGTTGAACTAGAGGTCTCTAGTTTTGCCTTAATGGACGTCATCTCCTTTCCAAGGTTGGCGATTTGGGAGGTCAAATTGTTGATGGCATTAAGGTGATCAACGGAGTAAACCGCATTTCCTCCCTTGTTTAGAGAATCTCTCTCTCCTTCTTGCCAATCCATGTGGTGCCTCACCACATCCTCAATTATCTCTATGACTTGCTCCTCCGTCTTGTTCATAATCGGGCCACCCGCTCCTGCATCCAAGCTAGTCTTTCCTTGTGGGCTCAAGCCCCCATAGAAAATTTGAAGCACTTGATATGACGGAATGCCATGATGAGGGCACTCCCTTTGATATTCCTTGTATCGTTCCCATGCTTCATAAATGGTTTCACTAGCTTTTTGACGGAAACCTTGGATCAAAGCTCTTGCCTCGGCCGTCTTCTTTTGGGAATAAAATCTTCCTAAGAAAGCCGTGGTGACCTCGTCCCAAGTTCTCAAGGAGTTAGGCCTCACCTCCTTCTCAAGCCATTCAAGAGCTCTTCCTATCAAAGAAAAAGGAAACAACTTTAGTCTCACAAACTCTTGAGTTACCCCATTTACCTTGATCGTGTTACAATATTTTTCGAACTCGTTCAAGTGTGCAAGAGGGCTCTCATGTTTTGCTCCACTATATTGCCTCCTTTCAATCAAATTAATCATTGCGGGCCGAATCTCGAAGTCATTGGCTTGAGTAACGGGTGGAGCAATGCCGCTTGAAGCTCTATAAGCTCCCGGAGTTCCCAACTCCTTTAAAGGTCTTTGAGGTGGTGGTTCCGCGTCACCCATTTGATCTCGATCCTCCTCGAAATTGGTCTCTCTAGCTGGGGGAGTAGTAAACGGCCTAGAACCGGCTCTTTTTCTCCTTCTATAAGTTTGCTCAATCTCGGGATCGTAAGGTACCAAGATCCTGTTATGAGTTCTGCGCATACACTCTCAACAAACACAATTAGTACCAAGGCTACAAGTGTAGCCAAAAAGAGACAATCTTTTTGAAATGTTTTTTATGGTGAACTAGACTCAAGTAATCAATTAGCTATCAACAACACCGTTCCCCGGCAACGGCGCCATTTTGATGAGCATTAGAACGGTCGTACATTCCACACTCAATCAAACACATTTATTAACAAACACCTTACAAACCAAGCATAATGACAAGTAAGAGTTCGGTCCACAAGGAACAGGATATGATTGCCGAAGATCTTTACACTTAAGCTAACTCGAAGTCAATTGGTGAATTGGGGTTCGTCAAGAAGACAAACAAACTATGGTTCTAAATCAATGAATTAAAGATACTAGGGAATGAGATCCACTCAACCAAGGCAAATAGGCAAACGGGGAGTAAAATAGACAAGATATAGCAAGGACTATATGTAAAATCAACCTCATGCAATTAGAAAACAACTCACACTACTAAACTTATATTCCTCATTAGTTTAGCAATAGATGATACATAATCAAATTACAATAAGTAATGACGTACTCAATTTACACTTCCATGTCAAATTAGGCATATCATACTATCAAGCTCCTTAGTCAAGGGTAGCTAAACCTATCATGAGGAACTAACAAGCAATCTCATATAATCAATTTAATTGCAATACAAACATCAATGCTTCTCCCACATTTGCATAGTTAACCCAAAAGGTCGAGTTTCACCCAACCCCTAGCAAGAAAACTACTCACAACTCATGTTTATCAACATGCAATCAAGAATTAGGGTTCTAAATACTTCAATAATTGGGGAAAAGTGGTTAACAATTGAAATAACTATCATCCAATAACAAATTACCAAGAACTAAGAAGATTTAAATAACATGCAAATACCAAATAAAATCTGAAATTAAAAGGAAGAAGGTTGGAGAAATTACTAATTGAAGCTTCAAATGTTGAATACAAATTGCCAAACTTTGAGAATAATTCTTGAATTTCACTAATACAATGATTTGATTTGATGAAAACTAAGCTAAATTAATCCTAAGGAATGTTTCAAACTAAGAGAGGTTTCTAAAAACTAGGCTACTGTCCTCCTTCTCCCTCTTTTTTAAACGATCTCAAAAGGACCTTAAATAGTCCGTACAAAATTGGCTGAGATCGGGAAAAGGTCCGACCGAACTCTGGGTAGGTTCGGTCGGACTCAGGGTAGGTTCGGTCAAACCCTGTGTAGGTTCGGTCGAACCTCCCTGATCCTTGTTTGGTCGAACTTTTGAGGTTCGACCTCTCCTGCAAAATTGCTGAAAACTGGTTTGACACTGTCTTCACTGCACCCTGGAGGTTCAGTCGAACTTTTCAAAAGTTTGACCACACCTAGGTTCGACCGGACCTTTCAGAGGTTCGGCCACACCTCCTCTTGCACTTCCTTTTCTTGCTTCCTCTCCTTCCCTTTTGCTCCTCTTGCCTTTGTCCATGGCTTCCATACTTGGCCAAGGGGCCTCCCACCGTGCATAGGACCGTCACGGAACCTGCAGAAGATACCAAAGTTCACGAGAGCATGGGGATGATAAAATAATGCATAAAGATTATCGAAATAAGCATTACTTTTCATCAACACAAAAAGAAGCCATAAGAGGATAATGAGGTGGAAAAACCTAAGAAAAATAAGAGGAAAAAGACCTAAATACTACCCCTAAGAGTGACATAAATGTCACTCATCAATTAACATTATGATTGCTTCTGAAATGGGTCCTATGTTTATGAAAGCTATTGATTGCTCGGGTAAGATTAAGGACAAAGATTCCATTGCTAACTTATTAAGTAAGGTGATTGATGAAATTAGAGATTAAAATGTTGTTCAAATAATCACAAATAATGCAAGTAACTGTAAGGTTGCAGGGGAATTGGTTGAGGGTAGGTATTCTCATATATATTGGACACCATGTGTTGTTCATACACTTAATCTTGCAATGAAAAGCATTGTGCAGCTAAGAATGTGTTGAATAATGTTGAAGTATATGATGAATGTCATTGGATAACGGAAGTTCATCCAGATGCATTGTTCATTAAAAATTACATAATGAATCATTCGATGAGGCTTTCAATGTTCAATAAGTTTTCTCCATTAAAACTACTTTGCATTGTCGATACTCGTTTTTCTTCAATTGTGTGCATGCTTAAAAGGTTGAAACTCCTTAAAACATCACTTCAATCAATGGTTATTAGTGAGAATTAGTCCTTATACAAGGATGATCGACGCAAGCAAGCCTCACATGTAAGGGAAAAGATTTTGGATGAAATATGGTGGGAAAAAGTTGATTACATTCTTGATTTCACACGCCCAATCTATAATATGATTAGGGTTTGTGACACCGACAAATCTTCCTTGCATTTGGTTTATGAAAGATGGGACATTATGCTTCAAAAGGTGAAAGGTGTCATCTACAAGAAAGAGGGTAAACTAGATTATGAAGAATCTACCTTCTTTAATATAGTTCAAGGGATTCTTAGTAGTCGTTGGAGTAGGGGTAGTACTCCGCTCCATTCATTAGCACATTCTTTGAATCCAAGGTAAGTTTTACTTATTTAATTCATCTTTATTATCTTTATTTATTTTTCCTTGTTTTTTATTTAATTTCTTATGGCTAATCTTATTTTGTTGTTAAAGATTTTATACGGAAGAATGGCTTAATGAGGTCCCGGGACGAGTTGCTCCAAATGCCGACAATGAAATTTCCACACAAAGATTACAATGCTTTCGAAGGCTTTTCCAAAGTCCTGATGAAAGATTCAAGATCAACGAACTTGCAATATTTTCACAAAAATCAGAGGGGATCTTTCTCAACATTGATTGCATGCATGATATGGCTTTGATGGATGCTAAAAATTGGTGGGCAACTTATGGTTCCCAAGTGCCTATGCTTCAAGGTTTGGCTTATAAGCTATTAGGTCAACCTTCTTCCTCTTCTTGTAGTGAAAGGAATTGGAGCACCTATAAGTTTATTCATTCTTGCACTAGAAATAAGCTTACTCCTAAACGTGCTCAAGACTTGGTATTCATTCATAACAACCTTTGATTACTTTCTAGGAGAAGTGAAGAATACACTAAGGGGAGATCTAAGTTGTGGGATGTGGGTGGAGATGAGCATGACAACCTAGGAGAGGTTGGTATTCTAGAGATGGTCGAGCTCTCACTTGATGAACCCGAGATGGAAAATATGATTTTTGATGATGTACTTGGTGATGGTGAAGAATGAAACTATTAGTACTTATGTTTATTTTATTTATGATTTGTAAAACTATTATTAAGACATGTATTTAGTTTCTTGATATGTATGCGACTATATTCGTACACTTCGTTTATTTACTTGTTTAAACAAAATTGTGTGTTTTGAGGCTAATTATTTAGTGTTTTATTGAATAGGTTGTCAAATTCTCGTTTTTTTGATATATTATATGCCTTGTTATACGCCGTACCCGTGTCCCCTATTTTAGGATTGCCGTTTTCCCGCGTCCGTGTCGGTATCCGTGCAACCTAGTGTACTAGTATGACTTTATTTTATATAATTAAATATTAATAAAAATTATTTTTAAAAATTATATTATGAAACTTTATATAAATATCTATCTAACGATATATTTTATGATAAATTATGTTTTTATCATGTCAAAAAAAAATTATAGTCAAAGTTAATACATAAGTAGTGAAAGAAATCCAAAGTCCCAGTTATTCTGGGATAGAGGGAGTAATGGGGTAAATAAGGTAATAAAAAATTGTAAGCAAAAATAGTAGTGTTACTTTTTTTTTTTTTTTTTTTTTTGAAAAGTAAGTAAGGTGAAAGGGAGTGAGGACTATTGGAGGAGTGAGAAATGATATAAGAGAGAGTGGGACCATTTAGGTAAAGTTATATTATTAACTTATAATTGATTTCTAAAAAAGAAAGTGTAACTTCTTAAAAAAAGAGATGAAAATAGCAAGTGTAGTTTTCTACAAAAAAAAAAACGAAGGGAGTACGAAGTAGATCATAAAGTGTAGACTTATTGGTTGCTGGTCATGACTATGGGTGAGCAAAAAATCAGGGTACTCTGAATTGAAACCGGAACCTATTAGGAACCAGAATCTGGACAAGAGGTTCCGATTTCGAGTAATAAATTTAAGAACAGGTTTCGGTTCAAGTTCTAAGTTTTTTGGAACCCATACTTGAAGGGTGCCCTATAACTTGATAAAAGTTTTTACTTAAGTTCAAATTATACATCAATTCAAGCTCAAGTTTACAATGATAAATATAAAAATAATAATAAAAAGTATATGTATTAAATTTACTAAAAAAAACTAATTTTTGTTTGTTGCATCTAGAAGTTGTACACGTTATAAAATTAGTGACCATCCAGATTTTTAAAAAATAATTCTACAAAAAGTTAGAAAGTATACTAAAAGAAAGGGTACCCCTGACTCGGGACCGGAACTTGCAAATTCCGGTTCTGGTTCCGATTCTTGATTTCTAGTAACCAGTTTAATAGGTTTCAGTTCTGTTTTCCATTTTAAAAAACCTATTGCAACAGGTTCTGGTTTCGATTCCAAATTTTTTTTACAAGGTACCATTTTATGCTCACCCCTAGTCATGACGATGCACGAAACACTCAATTTGACATACTTTCTCATCTCTTCACTTATTGTCAATTTACCCCCATTTCTCCTTTACCATTGGGAGTACAAGGTTATTGGTGGACAAGAGTTTTATACTTTTAGTCATGAGAGAGAGATACATATTGATTAAGAAAAAAAAAATAAAAATTATTGACTTAAGTGGATGGTAAATTCATCAAAAGTTACTTTGTGATGCTTTAGGTTATGTAAGAGTTTCAATTCTAGGGATTTTCTATATTGAAGTAGGTTGATTTAAACTATTACTTCGTATATAAGTGAGGTTTATTATTGAAAAAATAATGGATTTTTGGGCCTGGACTAGGAAGCAAGCTGTGGAAGGGAAACAAGGAGAAATGAAAGGAAAGATATCAAAGCCCATCTACTCACCTAACATGTTTGGTATTAACTAGTATAGTATCCGTGCAATTACACGGTATAATAAGTTCATATGTATACTTATTAAAGCAATTTTTTTAATAATAATGATGAAGTGTTAATCAAAATTTGCTCTAACATATATAGCTGTTAGAAATATCACAGCATGATTTAACGTTGGTATTTACATAATTATTCTACTACTATTTTACCAATTAAATTATTTATAAACTTATAAATAGGGATGGCATGTGGGTATAAAAATGTGAGTCCCGCACCGCACCCGCCCAGTTGGAGCGTGTATAGGTCCAACTTTGGGGGGTGAGTAGGCAGATATGGGTACAAAAGTCATACCCACCATGAGTAGCGGGTAGCGTTGGATCTGATGTTATACTCGCCTACCCACCAATTACATGCCTACCCGCCCAGTTACCTGCCAACTTATTACTACCATTAATTTTTTATATAATTCTTTTTGTATTTGTAATGAAGGACTACTTTTATACAAATTGACTACTTACTTGTATAATACGTAGTATATTATTAAATTATGTATTTACATGTTTTATAGGAAATTTGTCAAACAAATGTTGTTAGGTTAGTGGATAAAGGTTGTCGGGTAGTGAATATCCACATAGGCGGTGGATCGGGTATGGGTCTCCCGCTTACGCGGGAGTGGGTGTTAAAATTTTACCCATCGCAGGTAAGTCACAGGTATAAAAAATTTTGGTAGATGCAGATACGGTGAGGGAGTTCATGCACCCGCACCGCCCAATTGCCATCCCTGCTTAATATTATGAACCAGTAATTGGGTAAAAATTTTAGTATTTGTTTTATACTACCCCTGTACTTTTTGTTATATTCACTTACGTTTGTTAATTAGGTCTCCAATGTCAATATTTCACCAAATAATTTAAGCATGTATGTATGTATGTAAATTATGTGACTTTGATATTTTGATATTTGGATATTACGAAGTACACATTAAAATGATTATAGTAAGCTCGTATGTACATGAAATTTTTATTTATATATAAATGGCAAACGATGGCCAATTTTTTTTAGATTGACCCCATAAATACTACGATGTACTCCATGAGTGAGTAGAACAAAAAAAAAAAAAGGCAATAGTAATATACATTTAAAATATTAAATTTGCTTTGTGTAAAAGAGTAATGTGCGTATATTTTTAGGTATTTGATGTTGCCTCCATTTCATAATATTGACACAATCAAATTTAGTGAATTTGCTAATGTTTCATCCTAAATATAAATAATTAAATATTAACAAAATATACATAAATATGTAATATTATAAAACTTTATATGCATGATCTTACATAATAATACTCGCAGTAGTAATTCTAGAATTTTCAAAGTATATATGGAGAATACAATAGTCCAAGTATATATATACATACATATATATATATATATATATATATATATATATATATATATATATATATATATATATATATATATATATATATATATATATATATATATATATATTACCTCCATTTCTGAAAGTTCGACTCACTTACTTTTCAAGAGGTCAAAATAAAATAACTTTCACCACATTAATGACTTATACAATATAAATAAATTAGCATATGAGATCTTGTTAGATTCCCCTTATAATAAACATTTCAAATATCAACTTTTTATAATTTTCACTTATACATAGCCGAAGATATTCATGGTTAAAGATGTTCATTGGAGACTGCACAAATACAAAGTGAGTCGAACTTTCAGGAACGGAGGAAGTGTGTATAGACTATGATATTATACTAAACAATTCGTCAATTAAATACTATATTATACTAAACAAACCGTCAATTATATGATAGTGGAAATATTTTGTAAAAGTTTCTACTGTAAGGAAAATAATGAAAATATTTTCTACATAGGATCAATAAAATTTATATTTTCTACATGGGATCAATAAAATTTATATTTTCTTTGACAAAAAATATTATATAAGATCAACTAATATTATTCTAGTATATACAAACTATGATATTTTCCTTGTATTATGGTACATATGTAACTTTTTACTAAATAAATAAATACTATATTAAACTAAACAATCCGTTAATTATATGATAGTTGAAATATTTAGTAAAATTTTCCACTGTAAGGAAAATAATGAAAATATTTTCTACATAGGATCAATAAAATTTATACTTCCTCCGTTTTTCTTTTATTGCACCATAAGGAGTTTTACACTATTTACATAACCTTCTTTGACCATCTTTTGTGATTTATTCGTAATGAAAAATATAGTCATGTGGGATATAATTAATATAAGATCAATTAATATTATTCTAGTATATTTTCCTTATATTATGCGTAATATTTATAGGAAATAGAAGGTCATAAAAAATTTAGTGAACAATAGCTTTATTTAGGATAGCGAAAAAGAGCGGGAAAACTTTTAATATCAAGGTGACACGTGCAGCTTCTGCATAGAGTGCCCTCTGTTTTAGTATAGGTATAGATAGATAGGTAGATAGATAGATTCCATTTCGAATTAACATGAGGACAATTGGACAATCACCATGAGGTGATAAAAAATTATGGTCAGACCAGGCTTTATTAACATTAAATGTCATGTTCAAACCTGCAAAAAAGTGATGGGCTTGTTGGATCAAAGTGAGCTTTTTGGGTCAGATTCGGGTTTTTAGCGAAAAAGTTTCTTTTACTTGTCCAATCCCGCCCTATTTTTGGGTCGAATCGGGAGGGCTAGCGAATCGGACCATAATTGATCACCTCTACACCCTCATTTCCTCAACACCGCCGTGTGCCACCATGACTAAGCACTTAACCAAAATTCACCCTTTAACTGGTATGGTCAAGAAATGACTTAGGTGGGATTTAAAAGGTGGGATTGTTTCATTTTTTAACCAAGTCTTGTTTTGATCGAGAATATGGTATTAAATGCTTAGATTGTTTTCAGATTTCGAAAAGGTAGAATTATTTTGAGCAAAAATGACGTAGGTGAGATAATTAGTTTTCGTTTTTCCTTTAATAAATTAAACATTGTATTTATCTGTACACGAAATATATGATTTTGGTGCCAATAATAAGAATGCATCTAACATACTATGAGTCAAGGGTGTATGTAGTTGTATAGTCGCTCCGTCCCTAATGGTTTGTCCTATGTTTATTTTTTACTCTATTAAGTTTTGGTTGAGTGAATTGATGAGAGAGAAAAGTAGTGGGGCATAAAGTGGGTTTTTATGAGAATTAACGTAGTGGTCCCCATAGACATTTAAGATATTGGGCAATCTTTAAGAAACATTCAGATATAGAAAATGGGGGAAACAAATAGGGACAGAGAGAGTATAAATGAATAACGATTATCAATAATTTAGTTCAATTGGTATCTTC